TAATAATAATAATAATCATAATAATCAGTCAGTCAGTCATTCATTCGTTGCCACCTCATCAACATCATCATCATCTCGGTTGGATTCCTTTTTTTCACATTTTTCATTCAAATCAAAAAAAAATGAAGAAAAGGGGGCCTTTTTTCCACTGGACAAAAGGGATTTTTTTTTTTGATTCCGTGTGTTGAATATTCAAATAGCTATTTCTATCACTTGGCTTTTTCATTTACATTTCTTTCAGGCCTGATGATTCTCTCTTTCTTCTCTAGCGAGCTTATATACGTACATTTCATTATGAGATTTTGAATGACTGTTTGACGGATGCAATGATTATGATGATATTATTTCTCATCTAATCCATCATTCCATGTGTGTGTGTGTGCGTCTGTGTATGTGATGATTCGTTTCCAAAGTTGAGACCTGTGTGGGTAAGGGAATGAGAATCTGATTCTCTAAATTCAAATTAAATGTTTGTCGTTTTTTTTGATTTAAAAAATTTAAAATTTTGATTCTATCATTGTGTTTCTTTGTTTGTGAGTACTGAACTGAATTATGGTTTGTAACCGCAATTCGGATAAAAAAAATTCATTCAATTGAATTTATTTTATTGAAAGAAAAGAGAAAAACTCGACAAGCGGTCGTTGAATATTCACTATAGCCGTGTACCAATCGTGTCCGTAAAAAAAACTGAAATGAAATAAAACATATAAAATTCAGTTCTGCCTTTTTCTTGTTGTTCAGATGCGTGTTTTCACCACATACGATGTTGCATCAATGCATGTGTATGGATGTAATGTTCCATTGGACGATTCGATTCTTTAGCTAAGAATTTATGAGAGAGAGAGAGAAATTTTTTTTACCGTTTTTCTTTCTCAATTGTTATGAAAGTGTTGTATAAATGTGTGACACGCGTCCGTATATTATTATTACTGACGATTGATTGTATTATTATATGAATGTAATGAAATTGTGCGTGTGTGTGTGTGTGTTTGATGTATGATGTGGTGATGATGATCATTGCAAATTGAATAGATTCAAATATTCTGTGAATATAACAGCATGACTATCAAATCCAATTGCATTTGAAAATTCATTCATAATGCCAATTGAAAAATAAATGATGACATTTGTAGTAGTGAACAAATTGAAAATTGATTTTTATTTTCTCATTTCAAATTCAATTCATTATGAAAATTCTGTTTTGTATTTAAAAACAAAATACATTTCGATGAATCATCATCATCGATGATCATCATCATTTGGTTCAGTTGGTTTTTTTTTTGCTCTCACTCTCTCGGTGCTGAAGCTTGATTTACTGGAGAAAAAAACTCGGTTCTTTTTATTCATTTTTATTCAGTTTTGCATCACTACTTCATGTGTACTTTATTGTATGACATAAATGACAACGACCTAGCCAATGTTCAATGTTAGTGGTGGTGAAGAAGAAAACAAGAAAAAATCCAAGGAAATTCAATTTTATTTCTTTCTATTTGTTGTCTTTGGCCATTCAACACACGAAATTTTTTTTTCAATCGACATAAAGGAAGCGAATGAGAGAGACGGAAAAAAAACACTCGCAATTGTCAATCCAATTGATTAGGTTAATTTCCTGTATTGTACATCAACACATTTGTCGTGGAAATAAAAAAAAAGTACACTTCTTCTTCGTTTTAGAACTTGTCCTCAATTTTCTTTCTTTTTTTTGTTCGTTTGTCCCCGCAAGCATCACTTATTTGAATTTTGTTTTTTCTTCTCCTATATTTCCCTGTTCAACGTTCGTTTGGATTCAACTAATTCTGGTGAATAGAGTCTCCACAGTCATTTTGCCTGTCAAACATTGATTCATTGAATCGATGAATGAGATATATGAATACGATAGAATAAAACAAATGAAACATGTGTACATATCCAACAACATTTAACATTATTGTGAAATTGAAACTGAAACTGACCACTATTTTTACCAAAAAAACATACACACATACAAAAACATCATCAGTTTTTGCCTTATGGCTATGATTTTTGTTGTTGTTGTTTAGTTCTGTCCATCCACCTATCCAGATTCAGAATTTTTTAGATGATTTATTATTATGTCAATTCAGCATCCATGGAATCCGTTTTTTTGCTATTGAATTTAGCCAGCAGCAGAAGGCAAAAAGAAATTTTTTTTTTCAAATGACAATGACAATGAATTTAATGATGATGATGTAAATGGATACTTTTTCTATTTTTTTCCATTGGATTCTTATATTAACTACGTCATCGTTGTCAAATCTGGTTTTCGTTATTATTATTTTTGTTGTTTCGTACGGTGGTAACAAAAAAATTGTATTAACATGAAATCTGATATGAGTTGAGTTGATGTTGTTGTATGACTCCTTACCACCACCACCAAATAATATTTGATGAAACATGGATCGAGGTTTTTTTTCATCATCATTCATGAATGAATAAACGAATTGAATGCAGATAGATGAATTAGATATGGAAAAATAAATGATAAAAACATCAGAAAAAAATGAGAAACGATAATGATATCGATTAATTTACCCAAATGTACACAAACACATTTTGATGATGATGTTTTTAGGATGTGACTAGAAATTAAAAATAATTTATTTCAATAATTTTTTTTTTTTGATAACGGAAAATTGATTGTGAATTGTGAACACATACAAAACAAACCAAACGAATGCATAACTTCTTGACATTGTCAAGTATGTTTTTTGCTGAGTGCTAATTTCCTCTTATCATTCATTTAATAATGATATATCTAAAGTCTTGGATTCTTTGGAAGAAAATTTTTTTTTTTTTCGTAAATAATGATGAACCATACCTACCGGATTATTTTCATTTTTATTCGATGAATGTTTGACACCTAATAATTTTTCTATATCAAATAAATTGATGATGATAAAGTTGATTTTTTTCTTCTTACTTTAAGAAAATTAATTTATGATGATGATGATGACAATCAAATATCCAATTACACATCTCCAACTGCTAATACTACTACAATTTTGAAAATGTTTAATTTTTCAACAAACATTTCTATGACAATCTGTCGTCGTCATTATCGTTTTTTTCAATTTATATATTCGATACCTAGTAATTAAATAGACAAAAGAAAAATTCTTGTTCATTTTGCTATCTGTTTGTAACAAAGTTTAGTTATTAGATAGAACATGTGAATGAAAAAAAAATTAATCAATTGTCAGTGTGTAATCGATGTGTATGGGGAGGCCATTTACATAATAAAAACAACGATAAAGAAAAAAGTGATGCCATAGTTATTGTTTCAAGGAAAAAACTTTGCTAAAAATACAAACACTCTCTTTCTGAATTTTTATATAAAAAAAACGGTAATTCTGTTTTCTGGGCCCCTTTTTTTTTTTGTTTTGTTTCATCCATCGCAATTAATCACACACACACAATTGTTTTGGAACATACACACGCACATCACACACACACACACACACACACACAGAAACTTGTTTCGAGACAAGCAGAAAAAAATTAGCCATTTTTTTAGTAACTACACTTCATAAGTAAAAATAATGCTACGGTAGTTTCAAAATTCAGTTTTTTTTATTAGTATTGGCTGTTTGACCTCCTCTTTATCCTCTTGAATTTTTATTTTGATGTTGCAAAATACCGAAATTCATCCCCATCTCGTTCCTTCACTATTCTTTTTCTCTCTTCTAAAGTTTGTCGATTCCAAATGATTAATTATATTGTATTGCATATATGTGTGTGTGTGATGGAACGATGGAATTTTTGGAAAAGTCGATTTTTGAAAATAGGAAAAAAGGTAGGCGTACCGAAATAGCGGAACGATGATACCTACTGTCTCAGTATGCGTGTGTTCGATACGAACTTTGTCCATTTATATATAGAAAAAGGTCACCAAGCTTTTAACTTACCAGATTCCAACGTTGTTGTTGTTGTTGTTGTTGACCTGATCAATTTATGGCTAATTCATCATTGAGATAGCAGCCGAATTCAAGTCAGGCAGACAGATTTCAATAACGTTAATTATTCGACACCTCCCGAATGATGTTCATCGATGATGATTATCGGTGGTGATCTCTGTATTTAGGATGGAAAAAAAAAAAAAATATTACAAAAAGCTGTCCAAATAAATGAAATAGTTTCATAATATCCTTATCAATTTTGTATATGTGCGTAGTGGTTACATAAATGGCTTGTTGTTAGCAATCGTTGTTTAGATCCATTGATTGCAATTTTTTGATGAAAGTTTTTTTTATATTTTCATACTGTGGTGGAAATGGAATTCATTTCATTTTGTTCAACGTTTGTGTTATCATTGTATATGTGTGTGATTGATGGAAATTCGTTATGAATCTGTCATTTGGCGACGAGCCATCCAGTATGATGATGATATTTATTGTTTTTGATAAAATTATTAATTTCATCATAATCTTCTCATTGCTAATTTTTTTTGTCTAGCCGCACCTGTCTTTTTTTTCATTTTGCTATTTCATGTGTGTGTGTGGGTCATCTATCTGGCGATGTCGGTGACATTTTACTTTACAATCATATAAAGTATGTCAAAAAAAACTATCTAAATTCAAAATCTCAATCTTTCTTGGTTGTTTGTTTGTTTGATGAAAGAATGATGATACAATTCCATTGATGAATTATGATTGTAATCATCATTTTTATCACCAAAGAAAAAATTCAATTCAATAGAATATAAAGTGGAAATAAAATATCGGCTATATTTGATCTAGTTCGGATATTTGTCTTTGTCTATAAAGGATATATAAGATATTTTAACAAGATTGAATTCGCTGGTTTTGTCTAACTTTCAAGGCCTGTATGATATGGGGCTGGTTTTTTTATCAATTTTTTTCTTTTTCTTTCTTGGTATTCGGTTTTCTTGTCCTTGTTTTTTTTGTAAACTTGTATATTCGTTCATTATATTATAATTGTATATGAATTTTCATTTTTCTTATTTCTATTTTTTTTACTTTTAGATTTATTCAGATGTGATTTATGTCAATGTCATTCGAAACTATTCAATTTCGGTTGGAACCGTAGAAATTTTATCTTATTTTTTCTGCTGAATATCATCATTCATTGAAGAAAAAAAATTTAAAATAATGAAATTAATCATTTTCAACAGCCACAATAAAAATAAACTGAAATAAAGAATTTCACAGGAACAAGAAAAAAGCTCAAATTCGTTACCTGATAACTGGAATAAGACAAAAATAAAATCGATTCCACATAAAAACTTCAAGTGACAAAACAAAATCGATCGATTTGGCAAAAAAAAATGTTGTTTATCATTAAAGCGATTTGATAAATCGACATTATCATTTTTTTCTCTGTGGTAAAAGTCGTTTTGCTCGGCACCCAACTAACCAACCAAACGACTATTGAACCATCAATCCATCCTAAATGTTGATTCTTAAATTCTCTGAAAATACTCTCAATAAATTCTGAAAAAAATAGGTAAGTAGGATCGATCGATTGGTTTTTTATATATTTACTGTCCCAAATATAGTAATAATTTCCATAACGAATTTTCTTTTTCCGTTCACACACACATCATTAATCGTTCTATTCATAATAAATTGCATTTTTTTTTTGCTTCCTTTCTCTTATATAGAATGACCACAAATAAACATTGTCCACAAATAGCTATTAAGTAATTGTTGATGTCAATAGAGAAGAAAAAATCAACACCAACGCCATTAACAAATAATAGAATTGAAACAAGAAGCAAAAGAAAAGAAAAATAAATAATATTCCTTGCTGTGTTGGATACTATAATCGTTGAATGAATTTTCTATTTTCTACAAGAACTCGGAACTCTGAAAATGTATAAAGAAGAAGAAGATTCTTAAGAATAAATGAAAAAAAAAAGAAATGATTGTTTCCAATAACAACAACTTTATTTCAAACATTATCCTATCAAAGTCTATTTAATTCTCTTTTGTCATAGAATAACAAGCAACACACACACAAACACGATACCTTCAATATATTAACAATAAGTCATCATCTTAATTGTGTCTTTATTCTTTGTGTCTGTGTCCACCTTATTATTATTTGTATTTCCACGTCATCATCATCATCATCATCATCATCATCAACAACGTCTTGTTGGCTTGTTATTAGTGACCAGAAATAAAAAAAAAGTTTCCCATTCTATTCTTAATGATTTTTTTTTGAGAAGATGATTATGATATTGACCATAATGTCTGTGTGATGATGATGGTGCTGGTTTTGTGTGGTGTTGATTTGAGAAAAAAAAAGGAAAAATCCTTCGAATGCAATGAATTTTGGAAGATTTTTTTTCCTTTTTATTAGGTTTTTTTTCTCAATGTCCATGTGTGTGTTTTGAAAGTTGTTAACGATGTGATTATTTCACATTTTTCATTGAGTTAAATTCTTTATTTTATCATTATTATCATTATTTGGGTGCCAAGTTGAGCTTTGTAGTTTTGGTGGTTTTTTTTGTCTTTGGCTAGTTTTTGTTATGGTTGTCCACAATCTCCGATTGCCATCATAATCATCATTAGTGTGTTTTAGTTTGTGTGTGTGTGTGAGAAAAATTCTCATCCATCAAACCGACAACGACAACAACTGACATTTTCGGTTTGTCCAATGAATTGAATATATGATGATGATGATGATGATGATGAAAGAAAAATCTTCCAACAACAAATTCATCATGACTACTTGTAATAATAATTTCTCATTGTGTCATCAAAATCGCCAACAACATCATCATTGCTTTAGTGTTGTTTCTTGTCCATGTTCATGTTGTGATTATAATAATAATAATAATAATAATCGAATGTCCGGAACAGCTACTAGCTGCTATGAAAAAGAAGCTCAAATACCATTTCCGCCCTTTTTTTCATCCAATATAACATTGTCAAATTCATCATCATCATCATCATCATTGAAACCAAAACGGTCATCATTGAATAAGATGGCTAAAAAAATTGATTTAAATCAAACTAGTCATCAAGAATCATTGAACGATGACAATAACATCAATGATGATCAACCAGGATCGTATCATCATAATCATCATCATCATCATCATCTACTACCGTATTTTATAATGAAATTTAATTCAACTTTTGATAAACTACAATCATCATCATCATTAACATTATCATCGTTGACGATGAAAAAACAACGAAAACCCTTTTTAGAAAATACTTGTAACAACAGGATACAAAAACAACTACAATCATTATTGCCATCATCTGTGATATCCTATGATAGGAAAAATTTTTGCCATCCCCCATCGCCATCATGATCATCATTATTTTATCCATCCTCAATACGAACGCATTCGTATCAGGTAGGTCGATTTCTGTCGTTTTTTATTTTATTTTCCGAATTTGAAAATCAAATTCAAATATCTTGTGCATGTGTGTGTGTGTGTGTGTGTTTGTTTCAATCATACAGTTGAATAGTCAGACAAAGTCAATCGAATGGATCAAGTCAAGTTAAAGTCAGGTCGATCAATCATTCAATCAAATCGATTGATTGAATTTTCGTTTTTTTTCTTACTATTATTGCTATTTTTAGTTTTTTTTTCAATTCATTGTATGCTTGGCCAATTTTGTCCATTCAAATCGAATACTATACTAAGACCTATGACGTATGATGATGATGATGATGATGATTATGATGATGGCAATCAAACATTTTTTTTTCTTGATTTCGTTATAGTTGGCCATATATAAATATTTAACCGAATTAGAAACATGACATGAACATTCCAGGGTTGACAGGAAATAAACTTGAAATTAGGCTTGTCCATCATCATCATCATCATCATCATCATCGTCATTATCATTATCATTATCATCTTATTCCTCATCATCCTACAATGTCTTGTATGGTTTGTCATAATTTTTTTCTCTCTCTCTCTTTTCTTTCTAACCTCATCAACATCATCATGTTGTCCACCCGGAACACACAGCAAGAAATCCACTTATCATCTTCGTTATTTTTTTTCTTCATATTTTCAGATGTGTCATTTTCATCATTTTTATGTCGTGTGATAAATATTAGCTAGACATTTTATGTTATTGTTTTTAACATTCGTATATATAGTATCAGTATGTTTTGTTTGTCTAAAATCCATTAGATATGTATTGAAGTTGTTAGTGTGTGCATATATAGAATCACAAATAGACTAGTTCCAAAATGGATTTGAAGAAAAAAAATAAAAAAAAATCCGTTGGCTAGATTCGCTTGATTGCATCTGCTATGATGTTGTATATGGATCATGGAACAAAGCTTTTAGCTTGATTTATAATAATGAATAGTTATAAATAAAGGCACTAAGGTCTAGGACCTAGGTTTTTCTTGGTCAAATCAATGTGTGTGTGTGTGTGTGTATTAGTGCTTATTATATTTTTTTCTCGCCAGTTATGAGATCCATGTATTTGGATTCTTCGATCATATTGATGATGATGATGATTGTTGACCATCTCGTTTAGTTTTATTTATTGTTTGTCTATTATGTATTATGTATGTGTGTGTGTTAATAACAAGTTCATTTCATTCAAGTTCTTATATTACAAATATCGTTTCAACTTGTATTGCACATTGGTTGATAAACATTGAGAGTGAATGAGTGAATCAGAAAAAAATGAAGTATTTTGATGATTTAGAAATTGAGTATCTACATAATACAAGAATAATAGCTTTTGCTATATTGATGAAAAGCCGCATACAATGACCAATGGTCATTCTAATTATTTTTATTTCCCAATGAAATGAATGAATGAAATGCGTTAATAAATCCCTATTCATCTGAAACATGCATACATATCAAACGAGCGAAAGAAAAGAGAATTTTGGCTGTTTTTTCATTGAATTGGGAAAAGAAATTTTTTTTTTCGGTCGAATGAATGAATGGATAATATTAACAGCAATAACAGTAGCGAATATCAATTGCATTCACACACACACACACACGAATTGTTGGATCTCATCTTTCGTCACAATAATACTGTTATTTATATTTGGATGACCAAAGGATTAAAGCTTCAATGTCATCATCGGGTTCAATCACATTCGTTCATTCATTCATTCATTCAACATCCATTTTACAATTTTTCTTTGTTTGACAGATTATTCAAGCTGTCCGTTTTTTTTCTCTGGTTTTTAGAAATTTACATTTGCAGGAAATTTTTTTTCCTCTATGATGAATTGTATGATGATTGTATAGAAAAAATTATGCAAATTTCAATCGATTGATTAGTCTTTGTTTGGTTACCAGGCAATTTTTTCCTATAGATGATAATGGCTATTACAGATTATATTCAATGTTTGATAGTATCATGGCGCCACATTAGGGCGTCTCTTTATTTGTTTTTTTCTCCTGATTTTCATTTATATTTCTTTTGTTCATTCGCTATTATTCGTGATGTTTGGCCATGAATATATCATTTCAAATGATCGTCAGGTCATCAAGATCATGATCATCATCATGATGATGATGATGATCATGGGTATTATATATTCGTTCTTTAGGCTTTTTTTATATTCATTGATTTTCTCTTCTCTGGTATTGAATTTGTTAATGATGATACTCTACAGTACTTGAACATCATCATAGTATTTTATGCGAAATTTTCTTTTTTCTTTTTCACTTATTTCTGTCTATTTGCTTATATTGCTTGAATGATCAAGATTCATATTACAATTGAGAATAGTTAGCTGATTTTGGATTCATTTGTTTTTTGATATTATCTATCAGATACGACGCATACATTTTTTTTTTTTGTGTGTGTGTGTGTGTGTGTGGTGGCCATTTTTCATCAAGTCTTCAATAGTGATGGTGCGATCATCATCATCATCATCATCTTCATGATCAATGGTCATTGGCAAATTAATCCACACGCATCAAATAATCTTAAAGTCGGAATGACCAAAAAAAAAGAAAAAACAAAAATAACTAAATCACGAACGCAGCAAAAAAAAATTGGAATAGCAAAAAGATGATTGTGTGGTAGCTCTTATTATTATTATTATTATAAACATACGACGTCTTCATTCATTCTGATTTTGTTTCTGTCATTAGAATTCGATTTGTTTTTTTTTCGAGTAAAAATTGGTTCGGTTGGTGGTGGCCGCCGCCAATTCTCATTCTGACAAACTGATTCAGTCAATGTGTGATTATCCTGAAGATTAATCGAAGATGAAGATGATGATGGTTGTCGAATGATTTTGGCTTGAGATGAATGATTATGATTCGAAATTGCACAAATTTTGCAAAAATCAGTGTGGTGGTCTGTGGTGTGGCTTGATTTTAGTTTTTTTTTTTTTTGTGGTTAAGATTTTTGAGCTGAAAAAAAGCTATATATCTATGATGATTGGACAAATCACTTTCACAAATGTTGAAGAAAAAAAAACGATTACGACTGATTGATTGATTTTTGTTTTACCTGAAAAAATGTATATTATCTACGTATTTTCATGGATTTTTTTTTCTTTCTCTTTCTCTCTTGTTGAACCATTTTGCTATTTATCATCGCGGTTTCTTTTTTTTTTTCTATCTCTCTCGCTTTGATTTTAGAATGTTTTATGTTTCATATATGAAAAAAATGGACAAATTTTTTTTCTCGCTTACATTTTATTACTCTGTCGATTGATATCAATTATTTTTTCTTTAAATCAAGTAATAATTCCATCAGTTTATCATAAAATACTGAGCAGAAAAAAATGGGCAAAGTTGAGCATGAAAAAAAAAGAATTTTAAGATTTTTTGCTGAGAGAGAGACAAAATTTTTTTTTCTTTCAATGCTTAAACTTTTTTTTAAAAAAAAAAGTTTGAATTTAGAGATTAAAGAATTTATCATCCTGCCTACCTACCTACCACCACACACACACACATGCAAGCGAATAAATTGTCTTGTTTTTCACCTGACATTTTTTAGACTTAATTTTCACTGATGATATTATCAGTGTGTGTATGGTTGTGCCGATAAATACAACGAATGTTTCACTATTAAAAAGGAAATTTTTTTTCTGGTAATGGTCGTTTTTTGTATTCTTTAATACCGTAAACTAAAATTGCACGCAAACAAATCAAGAAAAAAATTTATATAAGATACATTTGTGTTAATTGTATGCGTGCGTGTGTGTGTGTGGTAAATCTAATTAAACTCATTCTGGATACAATTTTTGTTTTCATGCGTGCATTTTCGTCGAAGTTATCGTCCAATTTTTCTCTCTCTCTCTCTCATTGTCTTAAAATGGATGATCCATTTTGTTGTTAAGTTAAGAAATGATTATTATTTGTATGCAAATATAAAGCTAAATACGCCTTTTTTGTTGCATTTAATTTTTTTTTCGTTTCTATCGTTGTTCTACAGTGGACGTATTTTTTTCCCCGGATAATGATGCTCAAGCATTTGATGTTTGTTCATTTGTTTGTCGATTTGTTTGTTTAGTTTGTTTGGAATATATTTTTTATCTGGATAGATGAAAATAGATGATTCTCCTGTTTGTCTTCCGCCTGCATTTTTTATTTTATATAGTAGTAGATACCATAAAAACCCATGGGAGATTATATACAATTTGGTACACTATGAACATTTCATTTCATTTGGTTGTTTTGTAGCTCAAGAAAAAAAAATGAACTAAAATGATAATGATGATGATGATGAAAATTATCGTTTTTGATGTTGAACATAGATATATACATCCTACACATCATTTGTATAGTGAGAATTTTCATCATTCATTGATCATGATCATCATCATGATGGCCATATTAACCAATGCTCAGGTATCAAAGCTTTGCCATTGAATTAACTAGCATCATCATCATCATCCATATTGTATCATATTATCGTGTAGGCGTTTTTTTCCATATTGGCGTCGTCCATTTTGTTACCATTATGGTTGAATGATAGTTGTTTTTGATGATGATTGATTCATTATGAATGACTGTCTTTTTTTCGCTCTTTTAAATGAATAAATGAAAAATATTTACGTATGAAGGAAAAAAAAGGTGATGACAATCCTCAATTTTTTTTCTGTAGGAGATAATTTTACTGAATAAAAATTCAATAATAATAATAATATAATACAGTGTTTCCTGTGTTGATTGTTGCGCCCAAATTTTTTTTTTCTACATTCACCTTTATTTAATGTTTATTTCAATCATCATTTGTTAAAAGCTTGTTTGTTCCTTATTTGTCACACACACACACACACAAACGCACGCAACAAATGAAAATGGTTTCTATTCTAGATAATATTTTCCTCCCAAAAATAAGGTGGATTAAACGTTTTTTGTTTGTTTTCGAGATTTTTATTTTTTAAAAATCTTTATTCAATATCATCAAATGTTTGAATGAATGAAAAACAGTGAACACTCGTATGTTCACAGAATCTATTTTTTTCCAACATCAACAACAGAAGAAGAAGAAAAAAAACATTAAACGATTCATTCCACAGCTGCAATGACAAAAGTCTAAACGAGATAGGCGAAAAAAAAACAAAAAACAAAAATCTCACTTTATGACTCATCATCCATTCTGTTGTTCACGTGTCTTCTATTCATTTTTATTGTTAAAACACTCTCAACATCAGCATCATCAGTATCACTTGGCACGACACATACACACGCTCTTTGACATCAACATCGTTGGCATCCTGTGCGTGCGTTATCAGGATTTTTCAAAAAATTATTTTGCTCTATAGTTTTGTTTCATTGTGTATTCAGCCATCTATTTATATTTTAGTAGTTTGGAAACAAAAGAGAATATGTAATAAAAAAAGATTAGTGCGAAAATTCTTTTGATTTTTGTATCAAAAGAATTTTTTTTCTTTTTTATTCTGTACAGATTCTATCGGAGATTTTTTTTCAAACGATTTTCGGATTTGAAATTCTATTGAATTGTATTCGATGCTCTAAATGAATATGAGCGTATTCATAAAATTTTCTCCAACCAATCAATCAATCAATCAAATCTAAATCATTTTTTTTCATTGTATAAATAAATTAATTGGCCAAAAATCAAAATGATGATCAATTTCAAGCCAAATCGAATTTAAATGATGAATCATTTTCATCATTATTGAAATTGAATAAAATCATCATCATAATTTATGGGGAGTGTATGCACAACTGGGGAATTGGATAGAGGGGAAACAACGATCATCAGAACAGATAAACAGCGAACAGTTGATTTTTTTTCTCTCTCTCTCTCTCACTCTCTCGTTATTCATAACCGCTATGTGAATCCTGTTATTTATGATATTTATCATTACCAGCATCATCATCATCATTATTATGATCATCATCGTCATTAAATGTGATCGCTATCGTATCATTATTATTATCATCATCGATGATGATAATAATAAAAAAATAATGATGATGATGGTCCTTTGGTTGATACATACAGACAGTTTATCACGCAAACAAACATAACAAACTTGTTCCATTCATCTTGAATCTAGCCAAAAAAAACAACTGAATAGTGTAAAAAATTGTATGTTTTGTCTATCGTTCAATTGCATATATATATGTCGTTAATGTCATCATTGGTTGGTTGTTGTTCGTATTAGTCAACCAGATGAGATTTGACTTGTTTTTTTTTTTTTTTTTTTGCTGTTGTTGTTGTTGTTATTGTTGTAGAGGGAAAGATTTTCGCTCCATTTAATTGTTAATTCAGTTTTCTATACGTTGCTATTTTGATTTTGATCTTGTTTGATATATTTATTTTTTTTTCATATCGATAACGTTAAAAATGTTTTTTCTTATCATATCCGTATTAGGGAAGAAGAATGGAAGAAAAAATACATTTTATGAAAATAAAAATTGACGTTTTTTTAATTCCATTCCATTTAACCCAAAAAAATATATAATGAAAATAAACATTGAATCGATATTTGCAGATAAAAAATTTTTTTCATTTTGAAATTTCTACTTCATGAGATCATCGATCGCTTTTCATGAGGTCAATGCTTGTTTCATTATGTTGCCTGTTGTTGTTCTGGTTGTTTTCATCATCATCATCATCATAATCATTATTCATTATCCAACCAATCGAAACGAATTCATCGAATTCGATCCATAATAATAATAATTGAAATCGAAATATTTTTTTTTTCATTTTGGGTCATTCCTCGAAACAAACTATGCAAGCTGCTTGTGCTTGTGTGTTTTGTGTGTGTGTTACGCGTGTTCTGTATTCCTGCCGCTGCACAAGTTCAGCACGCTTTCTTTGTTGTTGTTGTTGTTGTTGTAGGTATTGTATTCAAATCAGTTGGGAACACAACCGTATCCCGATGGATATCAGCGACCCTAATAACAACAATCATCATCATCATCATATAGCTTGCTGTGTATCCCTAATTAAAACATGACTTGTGCCATGTTGTACATGATTTTCTTTTTTCTTTTTGGTTTGGATTCCCGTTTGAATTTTTTTATTTTATTTTTCGTTTAGTTTGTTCGATGGAAACCGATCTTTACAAAAGGAAAATTGTATTGATGAACAGTGCGTACAGATCTAAATGAATGCAAATGGCTGGTTTTTTTTTTGATAGAAATCGAGTTTGGTTGGACTGATCGGATGACTGGTAATCTAATCTTTAGTCAGTCATTGATGGGAGGTGGAGAGAGAAAGCAAATACAAACAAACCCCAATCAAAAAAAAATTGCTGTTAGCCTCCGAATGGAACTTTTGGATATTTGAAACCACTAATCACAATTTATATTCAAATACGAAATAATTTCTTACTAAGAATCAGTTGTCATTTTTGTTGTAGTTGATTTCTCAAATTGAATGTCGGTCTATGTAGTTTATATTTTAGCGGTTGATCGCAACTAGCAATGTAGCTTGTTGTGTAACCGGAATTTTGTTATCGTCATCATGATCATCAGCATCATCCATAGAATTGACTATTTTTAGGGCGATACCGCCACAATTCCCTTTTTCACTATAACCATTAAGCTAATTAGATGTTGTTGATATTTTTTATTTTTCACGAGTGAAATATGGAATTTCATTCGTTAAAAAGAAAAAAAAACAGTATTTGTTAGGATGATGAAGATGTTTCATTCATTTGTATTAATATGATGATGAAAACCGACACAGATTATAATCCATGTTGTATGCATGATTCGTCAGAATTTTTTTTTTGTTTTGTTTTTTAGACAATTTTTTCCATAGTAGTATATTCTTTATGGTGATTATAACATGATGACAAGATATTATTTTCCATACATACATACAGTGTATATAGTATCAATTCGAAAACAATCAAAAACAATGACGATGTAATGTCAACGACCACAATTTATTAATTCAAGTTTGTTTTTTTTGTCTTCGTCTTCTTTCAACCAAATGTCGGCGAATTTGTACACATCATCATCATCATCATCATGTTTCAAATCGGGCGTAGGCCAATTTTATTTTCATTCTCTAAAATTCTGTTATTTTGTTGTGATGAAAATCATCATCACGTCGTCGTTGTCGGTTTTCGTTTTCAATCATTCATTGTGGTATAAGTGATGAATAATAATAAGTAAGCTTTGTTTTTCATCATTTGAAAATAGTTAATCTGATTAATAATAACGAATGAAGAAAAAATCCACGTGATCAATGTTTTGCAATTTTTGTTTTCATCATTATGAGAAAAACTATTCATGAGATATATATAGAGATTAATTCCACTATGAAGATGATGACAATCCAAATAATAATAATTATTATTATTATGGCTGTCAAGAATTTTTCATTCAAGACTTATGCATGTTTGAGAATTCTTCATTGTCAAAAAAAAAGAAATTGCTTGCTAAAATCAAAAAAGAAATTCCGCTACTACAATGTACAAGCTAATTGAACAAAAAATTTCTACAAAGATCTGAACAATGGATTAAAATTAGTTTGCAAAGAATTTGCCTTTGATGGCTTTTCAATTTGCATCGACTACTTTGGAGGATTTTTTTTTCTGATGATTCTGCAGAATCATACCCACCGAAACACACACGCACACACAGAGAGAGAGAAAAAATTCTTTGCTTTTTTCCTATTTCAAATGTTTGGACAATATTTGAATGTTGTTAGAGAGAATTCTCATGGGAAAAGAATTCAATTGATTCTTGTGTGTGTGTGTGTGTGTGTGTGTAAAGTAATATTTCTGTAACGAATTTCTCGTTCAACTTTCTAACCAAAACCCCACACTCGTTTGGTTCGAAAGAGAAAAAAATGTTAAATTGCCCAAATAAAAACAACAATGAACACCAATGTGGCCAGATATAACCATTTAACATTTCAAGTTGTAATTTTAAAGTCGATTTTAAACGAAAATTTTTCAAATATGAATGAAATGAGGAAACAAACCAAAAAAAAAGGAAAATTATCCGTGACGGAAAACAATAAAAAAAAATTGGTTATAAATTTAATTAAAATTCATCGGTATGATTCAGCTAATGTTTTTTGTTTTCTCTGTTTCTTTCAATTTTTGTTCATCATCATTGTGTTTACATCTTCGGTTATTAATAATAGAAAAAAAGGCAATTAGAAAATCAAACATTCCAATCATAAATTGGCGATGGCAAAACCGAGACAAAAATTCTCACGGCCAGATGTCCATGGAAAAAATTAATACAAAAAAAAACTCTCCGCCTAAAAATTCATTTTTTTCATGATTTTTATGACATCAACAGGTACAGTACAATACAGTGTGTCGGTTTTTATGTTTTTTTTTACCATTTCATCATTTCATAATTCATAATGGCCATAATTACAATAAATATACAGGAGATATACAATAGATTTTCATTATTTTTTCATTCACAACATCTGTCCACTATTGTATACAATTGTGACCGCTAAATTTTGAACAACAATAAAACAATAATAAAATCTTTTCATTATTTCATTTCATTCAATCAAGTATTGTGAATTTCAATTTTTCAATTTCATTTGTCGATTTATGGAATTATTGCAAAGATTATTGGTTGATTTGTTGTTGGTCCTGTAAGAAAGAAACGTTAAAATTAATCAGAACTGTCAGTATTTGGTTTTTTTTACTTGCTTTATGACTTTATTATTTCTAAATCATCATCATTCACATCTATTTTTTTTTTATTTCGAGGTTACCCGAAATCCATAAATCAAGTCTGCTGTTGCTGTTGTTGTTGTTGTTTTTGCCAAGATTTTTTTTCTTATAACTTTTTTTGGCTTTTTCTTCTTCTTCTTAGGGGTATCTTGTTAGGATTGATGATTTATATTCACTTGGATCGTTTCGTTTTGTTTTTTATTCATTTATTATGATGATGATGTTGATGAACGAAATCGTTTAAAAGTTGATTAGTTAATTATTCTTGCGTTTTTTCTTTGGAAACCATTTTTCGCCATATAACCAGTTTTTCTGTGATGCCAAATTTTTTAATTTTTTTCATAAGAAAACTCGATACATAAAAGAATGATGATTTTTTTCTTAAAAATGGAGCAATTCTAAAAAAAGAGCTGTGTGTGCGTTTAGGCGTTGTCATTTTTCGTTTCTCTTTTTTTCATATCATATTTTTCAGACCTTTTTTCTTGATGTTTTGACAATGGAATTTTCTTGTTGTAGATAAAAGTAAATTCCGACAAAATAAAATAAAATCTGACGGTCATTTCTTTGATTTATTTTACAGCTGTTTTTATGCGCGTGTGTGTATGTGTGTGTTGAAATCAACATAACAAGTGGATTGATTTTAAATTTTTTGGTGAAAATTTTTTGTTTTGTTTTGAAAATCGGATCATTTTTATTTCTCCGTCCAGGTTCTTGCTCGTTATCAACAAGATTTTTTTTTTTTTTTTTTTTTTTGATTAATTCGTTTAGACAGACTTTGAGAGTAAAAATAGAAAAACTATTTTCATCCAAAAACAACAAACAAGATCATACCTTCATTCTTTTTTAAATTTGACAATGAAATTTTTTTGTTCGACATGTGTATGTCGCCAATTTTTTTTCATGATAAATAATTTTTTCCAACTTTTTTTCTACTTCTGTAAATAGGCTGTCATCATCGTTTAGGATTTTCTTTTTATGTTTAGAATATATCCGTTGCCTTCATACAAACAACACTGTTGTGTAATGTTTTGATGATGGTGATGATGATGATGATGATCGCATCTGTTGATGTTACGGTTGCTTGATTATTTGATTCATAGCAATCATCATCATTGTTGATGATTGTTGTTGTTGTTTGGGAAAAACAACAATTTTTCGATGAAAAAGAACCGAATAAAATACGTTGAACGTTTGGTAAAAGTTTAAGAAAAATCTCCCAAGAGACGAAAAAAAACAGATTCTCTCATTTAAACATGGTACGCATCATCAAATTTCACATTCTATATTTTGACAAACAATTTTATTTTATTTTATTTTACAGACACAAAAAATGATTTACCATTTCTTTGAAAAACTAGTCGGCTATTTTTAAAGTTAACTCGATTCGATCTTAAATCATTTTACCGGATTCTTCATCATATATAAACTATTTACTTTACGGAAAATGAATTTCAAGAATTTGATATTTTCAAAAAATAAAAACAAAGTTCAACTGTTTTTTACCGGTTCGGGTTAATATGGCATTTTTTTCGGCTCATTTCTCACTTTTTTCTTTATTTCTAGTTTTCAATGATTGATTCAAAATGTGTGTGTGTCTTTTTATTATTATTTTGAACGTGATCATGGCCATAAATACAAACACAAAACAAACTTTCATTAATAATAATGATCAATGAATCTCGAAAACAAAAACACAGAAAAGATAAGTTCTTTACATTTTAATGAATTTTTCATCATTGAATTGTTTTTTATTTATTTTTTATTGTTTATTTCGATTTGAATTTTTTTTTATTTACTTTCATCAACATCATCAACATCATCATCATCATATACGAGATACGGTCAATCATCTTGATTTATTACAATTCTTCTGATTGTCTCATTCATTCATTCAATGATTCTTTATTGAATCGATCAATATTAAAAGTTTAGAGGTCATACTGTAGAATCTATTATTATTTTTCAAATATTTACGAATTTATAGTAAGCAAACAAAGTTCTTGCAGTTTGCCATTTTTTTTATCATCATCATCATCATCATCATCATTGTCTGTGTTGATCATTTTCAATTCTTCTACGCCATTAATTTCCATTCATTCATTTGTTGAACAATAATAATAAAATATCATTCAAAATGACAAGAGAAAAAGTTCGAGTGTGTGTGTGTGTTTTTTTTTCGATTTGTTCGTCATTGTAAATAAATATAAGCGTTTTTTTTCCTGAATCGAGCAATGAATTTTTTTCACTTCAATTCAATTCAAGTTTGTTCAGTATATTTAATGACAAATCTGTTGAATTTTTTTTTTGTATTTTCGAAAATGTGAATGATGGCCACCTTTAGATATGAAGGATAAATTTTTTTTTTTTTTTTTTGATCATACATTTTGTCATTCAATCGTTTTTTTCTAGATTTTGGTTTCTTTTTTTTTGCTTATCACCATAAATTTACAATAATTTTTTCCCACTTAAGAATCATTTGTTTGTTTGTCTGGTTAAAATATGATATCAAATTTATCGCATAAGAATGAGAAAAATGTACATGACATTTGAAATTAGATATTGGACAAGAAGTATAGTGGAAAAGTAATGGATTCCATCAACACATGATCTCCTATGATGATTATCATTGGATAGATTCTTTAAGAGCAAATTCTAATGTTCATAATACTTTGAAACCTAAGATGGGTTGTTATATATCGTTCTGCTTTTTTTTCAATCTATATATATTTTGATTTACTTCTTTTTTTACTCAATTTTTTTTGCTGGCTATTATTATGATGGAAAATTCGCATATATTGCTAGATGTGGCTAGATGAATTATGAAATCGATTTTTCTCTCTCTCTCTCTCTTCGATGCATCCTTCCTTTTCTAGAATTACATCAACCTAAACAAAAATGGTATGCCAAATAACAACAACAGCAGTAAAGTGGCAAAAAAAATTTTGTGGAGCAAAAAAAAAATATAACACGGAACAGGAAACACAATCGATATTTACTTAGTTATTTTTTGGGATTTTATTTCCAAGCTTTTTGTACATAGACAAACACGCACACCCACACACACACACACAAATTGCATCTTTTGTTGGCTTTCGTGGCCATGTTTTTTTTATGTTTTTCAGATGAATCCTGTTCAAATATCGATTTTATGGTGAAATTCTTTGGTTGGGTTTGGTCGATTTTTTTTTGACAAAACGTTCTCATTAACGAATGCTTCTACTACGACAAACATTCTATTTTGTTTGTTGTTGGTGCTGTTTCAACAAGAATTTTTGGTTTTTTCTCTCGAATTCAAATTCAACCTAACTACAAAGAAAAAAGGCTGAAACCAAAGTTCTAACGGAGCATCCATTCACCGTCATTTTCCATCCATGTTTGTAAAGTCCACGTTGATGATGGTGATGATGATGATGATGATATAAATCATCGTTCGATAATATCGATTTATGTCGATCCAAATATACGATAAAGATAATGGGAACAACGTTTATATAATAATTTTCCATCCACCTCTCTCTCTCTTTTTTTCTCACCGTTCATAGACAATTTCAACATTGCAATGTTATCCCATCATCATTTTGTTTTTGTTGTTTGCTTTGTTCAAAAAAAAAGCAAATGTGAAAAAAAAGAAGAATTATAATCATTGCCATTTTTTTCTTGATTTAATTCAATTTGCCACACTGATGATAATAGACATTCTAAATAACAAAAGAAGAACAAACAAACGAGAAAAAAACCAAAAAGTTTCTAAAAGGCAACCATTACAACCATCATAATAATATTAATTTGTCATTTGTTTTTTTTTATGTAATGATGGTCAATTTTTCCTATTATAATAGGTATATTGACCAAAACATTGTTGCATGGAAAGAACGAAGAAAATATCGATTTTTTTCTGAACAAAGGTTATGTATACAGAAAACGATGACAATCAAAATGTCTATCTCCAACTAAAATGAATGAATGAATGAATGAATGAATAAAATGTTGATGACAATGACGCCATTGATTGGAAAGTGTTTGTGTTACATGATGATCGATAATATCAATATAATTTGGGGAAGTGGATGTTGAGACGGACGTTAAATTATTCTTGGTATATTCTTCTTTTTTTGCAAATGATGGATATTTAAAGAAAATTTCATTTTTATTTTTCTAAAAATCATTCTTATTCCATGAGATCGATATGTCATTAGAAATTAGTAACAACGGTTGTTTTCCGTTGGTGTCGTTGTTGTTGTTGTTGTTTGTCAACGCTAGTTTCTCAATGTTGTTTTTTCCAATTAATTAATTGTTGTTCACATTTCGATTTCGATCGTTTTTTCGGTTTATCGCGTTATAAAAAAAACGAAATGTGACAAATAAAAAAAAGCCACGGTGTCAAAACAAATCAATATTATCTTTTCGTATCAATTTATTTGTCTGATTCTGACACTATGACCGGATATTTGTAATTGAAATTGGAATAATAATTTCAACCAATGGTTATGTGGGGTGACAAGTTTTGTGTTGTCAAAACAATAATAAGAATAAGAATATCGATTTCAGAAATTATATTTTAGACATGATGATGATGATGATGGTGATGATAATATGATAAATGGTGGGCATGATGCCAAAATCGATGAAAATGACAATACTAATAATAATTATAATTCTATATATGAAAACAAAGACAAACAAACAAACAAGCAAAGAATCTTCATTCACGCACACAAAATTAATTCAAAGATTAAATTCTTTTCGTTTTGCCTGTCGTTTTTCACAAACAACATCATCATCATTTTCATACAGATTCTGTCAACGTTAATTTCATGTCTTATGTCATTATTTTCTTTCTATTTCGTGCCCAGTTTTTTTTTTTTTTTTGATCTTGTTTTCCGAGAAAAAAAAGGCCAAGATGATGATGAATGAATGAATGAATGAAATGAATTGTTGAATGAATATTAGATGAAATAAGAGATGGAGAGAAAAAAAATTCATAAGGCAATTGGCAAGTAGATAAAAACAAACTTCATTTACATAAACTAATTAGTTTAGTTTTTCTTATTGTTTTGTTTTTGTTTAGCTAAGCTTAGATTTTCTTATTCAAAAAAAAAACATTCAGTTCATTTCATTTTCATTTCCCATTGAAT